TTTAATCTTTAAAGTTCTTTGCTTTATATGTTTTAAACCAAAGTTGTTTGACTTATTTTATGTAATTTTAACTGATAATTTTATTATTTTAATTGAATTATAATTAATTTTTATTAAATAAAACTATTGAAAAATAATATGTAAAAAAATGTAATTATTATATATAAGTTAGTATAAAAAATTATCAACTAAAATAGAACAAAAAAATTTAAATTGACTTATTTTTTCAAACAAAGAGAGTATATAATAAGCACTTGAGCTTAGAGGCCCACTGATATTAACCAGCTTGTTAGGTGCATTCCCCCTTCCCCTGGGCGGGTTTTGAACCCGCCCCGTGTCAAAATGTAAAAAAAAAAAAAAAAAAAAAAAAAGAGGGTACATAATAAACTAAGAATACAAATCCATCGTTTAACTACATCTCAAACCAATTAAAACCACCATAAAACTAAGATTAAACTTACAACAAAATTCAAACTAATCCAAGCAAATAAAGATATATATATATATATATTTTTGCTGTTATTTAAAGAGAAACCTATCTTCCTTTTGAATCTATCTATACTCAGTTACAAATTCGTCATTGTAATTACATGCTCTTAAACTTAGAGGCCTAAACTCGGTTGTCCCAAAAAAGACATGACAGATGAAGCTTTTCCTTCCACGGAAATAATGTTTTCTAAGCGAAGAAGATCAACTAAATAGGCCTGCCCAGGTAAATGCTGAAAATCGGAAACATCCTGGCAATGTAGTAATAATGAACATAAAGTTAGAAATATCTCGCACAATAAAATAGTATATTTCAACCACCCTGTGTTGTCCTTGTTCAAGGAGAAAATGGAGAAGAAAAAGTCAGAAATATCCATGTGTCGGCATGTACGCAGGTGCACACGTGTTCGTTGATGTGCTTTACAAGTTTCTAGATCTGATTATGACAACAGTCATAGAATATATTTTTATTTCTATGAGATAAGTATTGTTTGGGCGGATATTAATTTTGTTAAAAAAAGTTTTCATTAAAAATAATATTGTATAAAAATTATGTGAAAAGTTAATAAATTTTATAATAAAATTTTATTTAAAATTTATAAATAGGAATTTATTTATGAAATTAGTGTATATTAGTCTCAATTCCTAAAAATAATTAAAATTTTAATTTATATTTAAAAATTAAAACCTTATTCTATTAAATATTGATATTTAGATTT